TCTGAATTGTAGGCATCAGAAAGTGAGATTTCCAACTTACCTCATAGACCCTATATCGAACAATGTCATTTGTTTTCATTACAGTTTTCAAATCATCCAGCAGATTGCTTTCAAATAAAGCCTCCAGTCCAGCTTGGGTCAGTGATATTCTTGACAGGGATTTAATGGCCTTATAAGGAAAGAAAATGTCCCTTAATTCATAAAAACACAAAATAGTAATATCTACTGCACAGGACTGATGTGAAAATTAGAGTATGGAATGCACCCTGTCCCATGAGCATTCACTATGCTTTAGCAGCTATTACTATTTGTAATTGGAAAAGATGCACAGCATTCTCAACAGAATTATGAAAGTTTTGCTTCTTAGGAAGTAACCCCATATAAACCCTATGGCAGATAACTTAGATATGTGTACTATAGAAAATAGAAGGCATTTACTTGTACTTATTTGACACCATCTATATGAAGCTGCAATTATACAATCATCCCTTCTAAACGTCCACCTCTCAATCCAGAAAGCCTTTCTTTGTTGTTTAAGACACAGATACCTCTGCATGTTTAAGTGGATTGTTGCAGCTGACTCACCGCTTTAGCTACAGATAGATTCTCTCCACCAATACAATAAATGATTTGTTTTAGTAATTCAGGATTATTTAGAACCTCAGTAACTGCATCAGAATTTTCAACAATTCTTCCAACCTGAAAGAAAAAAACAATCAGAAATACTCTTCCAAGGTAGGGCAACAAGTGAACATATGACGGTCAAATTATCATACCTTAGTGTGCAGTTATTTTAAGAGTTACTGATTACAACTATAAGACAAGTCATTAAAAATTCCAAGTAACCCAAATGCATTAAAGCCAAGCACACAATGGCATAGTCATATCTATGAAAGAAAAAAAAAAATGTTGAGACATCTCAGTGAGTGAAAGCAATAAAAATCCTAGTTCTATTTATTATTAGCTAAACGGAAATCCTGGGAAAATTAAATAACTTCTCTGGGCCTAATTTCTTACCTGTAAGGTGGGAACACAATACTTAAGTACAGGATAGTAATGAAGATTAAACGAGACTAAGTAGGTAAAGGACATACTACAGTGTCTGGCACATAAATGATAAACTGATACTTTTCCCAATTTGTTGAATAAACACTTTAGAGGAGAAAAAACAATAACTGAATAACTACTGGATAAACTAACTGCTCAGATCCTAACATTCTCAGCAACAGTTCTTCACCCAAATAGTGGCATGTTTTGATTGCCAGAGTGATAATTGTTTTAATTTGTTGGTTTAGTAACCTTTACATCAGAACTTTGTTCATGCCAGTATCATAACATGACTTAGCATGGCAATCATTTTTCTCTAGCCTAGAGGATTCTCTAAGCAAGGAAAGAAATGCTTTCTTTACCTTGGTAGCTCAAACAGCATACGGTACAGTGCCTGGCATGTAAAAGTAACTCAGTATTTGATGAATGAATATTGCCGATGGTACTTAGAACTTCTTACTTTAACTTGTATCTCCCTGGTCACAGTTATGTACACTCGAATAGATCACTAGACACACCCTAGGGACAGCGAAAGATCATGTTTTCTTCATCTCCCTGCACAGAATCTCGCCCAGAGCAGGTGATCACTAAGGGTTGGTTCCCTTATTATGTGTGCTAGCAAGATTTCATACCTGGGATAGAGTGAGGATTTTTACGGAATCATTGGGGTGAGTCAGCCCCCTCTGCAGGTCAACCCTGAAGTTCCGAGCCACGTGAACTGGCTCCAGAGCCTGGAGCAATCTCTCCAGAATGGATACACACAAAGTGGTCTGTTCCCTAAAGGAGACACCATAGACCTCATTAGTTCGTGTCCTTTCAGGTAGAAAGGAATCTAATAATATCCGACACCTGGCTCAACGAGGCTCTCCACATACACTTCTCTTCAAAACATCGGCTTCTACTTTAACATTAAATGTTTAATATTAAACATTTGCCAAGTACCTATTATGTGGCATGCCTGTGCTGGGGCTGCAAAGAATGATAAGATATATTCTATAACCACAAGGAGCTCAGTCTAATGGGAGATACAGAAAAAAAGGGCAACTATAATCCCGGTAGATAAACGCTAGCTTAACGCTGGAAGCTGTGGGAACTCAATAAAGAACAAAGGGTACAGGGTATACCTGAGCACATTTTTAAGTTACCCAAGAGAAGAAAAGAGAGGTAAAGGGCATAGTAGCACATGAAAAGGCACAGAGTGTTATGCATTCAAGGAACCACAAGTAACTTGGTATGACTGGGATCAGAAACGGAGAGAAGTGGGAAGAAGGTAAAAGGAAGAAGATGAATGTCAAGAAATGAAATTTTTAAAAATGCACAGCAATCAGATTTTGATTGTGTTTTTTTTTCCTGTCCTGCTATGGGATTTCACCTTTTCCCAGATGGCAATGGCAAGTCAAGATGTGATTTTAAAGCAGAATTAACATGATTAGATCGGACTTCTAGAAATCACTCAGTCAGTGTTAGAGATAGAATTTTCAGTTATAAGTTTATGGTGAGGTGATGAAAGAGTGGAAGAGGTTCAAGAGCTATTAAAGAAGTAAATTAATCAGAATTTGATGGCTACCAGCTGTACATTCAGAAGGTATTTCAAGAACAACTTCTCTTTGTCTCTTAATAGGCAGTAAAAGCAACTGAGCACTCACACATTGCTAATAGGAAACACACTATTAAATTGGTATGATCTTGCTAAAAGGCCATTAAACAATAAATATGCTTTAAAAATGAACATATCCCCAAGATCACTGAAAACATGCTCACACAAAAATTTGTACACGAATATTCATAGCAGTAGAAACAACCCAAAACACCCATCAATTAAATGCATAAATGTGTTCTATCCACACAAAGGAATATTCCCCACAAAAAGGAATGAAGTACTGATGCATGCTACAACATGAACCTTGAAAATACGGTAAGTGAAAGAAGCCAGACACAGAGACTTCCTTTTGACAATGATTCCATTTACATGAAATATCCGGAATAGACAAATTCAGAGACAGAAAGCAGATCACAGGCTGCCAGAACCTGGGGAGTAGCTGAAAGGGGGCAGAGACCGCTAATGGGTTTCTTTTCCTTAAAAAAAATAAAATAAAAAATAAAAAATAAAAAAAAGCAGTCCTACGTAGATAGCTCAATTGGTTAGAGTGCAGTCCCCGTATACTGAGGTTGCAGGTTTGATCTCCAGTTAGGAGAATCAACCAATGAATGCATAAATAAGTGGAACAACAAATCAATGCTTCTCTCTCCAAAAACCAATCAATAAAAAAAAATTGCAATTGTACATACCATAAAATTTATATTTTTTACCATCTTTTTAACTGATTTCATAAAGTAGGAGAGAGAACTATCAATGATGAGAATCATTGATGGACTGCCTCTCCCACGCCTCCTACTGGGCGTGTACCCTGACTGAGAATCAAACTGTGAGCTGGTTCATGAGTCAGTGGTGTGACCAGGCCCATTTTAATCTTTTTTTTTTCTTTTTAAAATTTTATCTTTATTATTGAAAGTATTACAGATGCCCCCTTTGTTTCCCCATGGATCCTCTCCACCCCACTCCTAGGCCTTCACCACACTATTGTCTGTGTCCATGGGCTATGCATATATGCATTCATTTAATTCCCCCCCATCCTCTGAAATTCCTGTTTCCTGCTTCTATGTTTTAAGCATTTTATATGTACAGTGAGTGCTGTGGCATTAAGTACATTCACAGAGTTGTGCAGTCATCACCGGGATCAAACTCGAGAACGTTTTCATCTCCCATTGAAACTGAAACTGCGTCCATTCAACACGAACGCCCCGTTTTTCCCTTTCCCTCAGCCTCTGGCGACCATCATTCTACTTTCTCTATGAATGTGACTTCTCTAGGTACCTCACATAAGTGGGATCATACAATATTTTCAAGTAGAAACATTTTGGATCACAAATATTTTTTAACTCTTCTAAATTATGAAATAGAAAGTATACCTGCGTGTTAAATTACTGGATCAAACGGTATATGAATCTAAAATATGGATGGATTTAGCAAAATTGCTAGGATAGGACTCCCTCTGGGGAGAAAGAAAAGTCAAGCACTTGTGCACACGAGTGTGGAGTTCTCCCTGCAGGTGAGCCACCTGGCTTCCCCGCCCCCAACTCCTACTTCCAGGATGAAGGCAGTGAGGCCAGGAGATAGATGGTCAGGGGCTGGACTTGCACCCCAATCCTTGCCTCTCAGCCTCGGGTCCTTCCCTCTCTGAAACTTCAGCTTTTTAAAAACCTTTATTTGCGACTGGGTAAAGCCCTTCCTCCATCCTACCCGCTCCCGTCTCCACACTTGGCGGAGTCTCCCTCCCCGCCTGCTCCCAGGCAGCGGGGTGCTCTCACCGATGGTTCTGGCTGAGCAGGGAGAAAAGCGGACTAAGGCGCAGCTCCGCCACGTGCTCGCGGAGCTCGCTGAGCGGCACCGCCTGCAGCACCGACTGGAGCGCGCGGAGCTCCTCCAGCGGCGCCTCCAGCCGCGACACATCCCGCAGCAGCGCCAGCGCCTGGGCCGCCATCATGCCTCCTCGGGCAGGAAGGCGCCGGCTCGGCCGCCTGCCAGGCTCCTGGCTCCCGGCGGGCTTCTCCGAGTCTCGCGAGATCTGACGGAAGTAGCGTCCCTGTGACTGCAGTAGCCGGGCGGAGCTGGCGGACCGCGCAAGGTCCCGTAATGCCAAGCCTCGCGAGATGTGGTTCCGTTAGAGCCGAGCCAATGGTCGTTCGTGGTTGCGGGGTCCCTGAGCGGCGTCCTCTCAGGCGCTGCTCCTCCCTTGGCCGTGCAGTCATTCCCGGCGGCTTTCCCATTTCCCACGGAGCGCCAAGGCTCCACAGATGCCTGGCAAGCGGAGTAGTGGGCATAAGGACTCACTGAAGGTTAAGCCGCATCCCGGCTCCCAAATCACGCTCTCGACTATGGCCCGGACAGGCGTGGTAGTGGCCCTGCGACCTGGGCAGAGCGAAGGCAATGGGCACCCTCATCCCGGGTTAGGCATGTATCCAGAGGAGGCGGAGAGCCATGCCTCTGGAAGACATGGTGAAAAATCTCCAGAAGTTGAAAGAAGGCGTCACGCCGACGTGGGGCGCTTTTGGGCGTCAGTGAGTCAACGATGCTCACTACTGAGAAAAACTAGAAGGCCGTCACGTTTTGCCCTTCTTCTCTACTGAACTCCCCAGGATGTAAACATCAAGAAGATGGAGACCGAGTTAACCTTTTGGGTCAAGGACGGGATCAGATGGTAGAGGGTGGGGAGGAGGGAGAGAGAGACAGTTCTGAAGCTGAAGGCCATCTGTAGCCATCCCAAATGCATTACAAGTGTCTGGTGGAAACCACTAGGAAGGGCAACCCAGATACATTTCATGGGGAAAAGGGATGGTTAGGGAAATCTTTACAGTCTGCGAAATTAAATGTCCAGGGGGCACCTAAGTACTCCAGGCAACTCCAGAAATTGATTCGAGCCAGAACCTATGTGCCTCACCAGGTCTTCCATGCCAAGGGCAGGAGCTTGTTTTGGAAGTGCGCCCTTAGTGGACTTTTAGGGGAAAATACAACCTAGAAGTCTTAGAGGAAGCTATTAACAGGATTCTCCTCATTCTGTTGTGCCAATGCTGCAAGTGACAAAAAGATATAACGGCTTTATAAAGACCCTAATCCTTACATTTGTCTTTTGGAAAAAGTTCACAGTCACCGGACTGTCAATAACTGCTGCCTTCTTTTTTGGATTGGTTTCATTAATTGGTTTATCCATCAAGCCCAGAATTATTTAACAGAAAAACATCTTGAATTCAGAGTGTTGCTAATTTTGGGCAGAGGTCTCAATCACCCAGACTTATGTTTTGCTTATCCTAGTATGATACTGTGTTTCTCCCTCTGGATGGCACTGCTATCATCAGCATCAGCCCTTGGATGAGGGAGTAATTGAAGCATTCAGGAGGTATACACCAAGCATATGTTTGACTACTTTGCTGATGCTCTTGGGGGGAAAAAACCACCTTGCCTTAATTTGAAGGAAACATGGCAGCAAGCACAACATTGCTGATACTTTGGTGGTGATAAAAGAGGCAATGGATGATACAAAACCAGCTGCTCTTACTAAAGCCTGCTGGAAGCTTTGGGATGATGTGAATGATTGTGCATATTTCCCTAGAAGAAGGGGGGGGGGGGGGCGGGGATCAGAGTCTGAAAAAAATGGATGAAAATGAAATGAATAAGCTATTCTAGTTTTAAGTTTTGGTGATAAGAGTATAGATAAGGAAGAAGTCAGGTCTCCAGAATTAGAGGTAAAGATGAACCTAAGGAAATTGAATACTGACTGACACTCTGCCCAAGTCTTCATTGATACTGCAGTTAATATGGGTCCTTCCTGGATTGAAAATGGTTTTTAAAAAAGGTTTTGATAAATTGTATACCTATACAAAGGTGTAAGAGCACCTTCAAAATAAAGGAGTTGAAGAAAAGAAAGACATAATATAGAGGAAGTGTGGATGAAGAAGGTGAATACAGAATGAGTCTGTAGGGGAGTCTGAATTTTAGTCTGAGCCAAGGACTAAAGCCTATTAGGAGGAGGAAAAGTTAAAAGAATAAGAAGCCTCCAGAAGAACAGTCTGGGCCCTCAAGCAGTGGCAGTAAGAATCATACGATAGCCGTAACCAGTTTGGCTCAGCAGATGGAGTGTCGGCCTGGGGACTGAAGGGTCCCGGGTTCAATTTCGGTCAAGGGCATTTGCCTTGGTTTCGGGCACATCCCCAATGGGGTTGTGTGCAAGGGACAGCTGATCGATATTTCTAGCTCTATATCCCTCTCCCTTCTTCTCTGTAAAAAAATCAATAAAATATATGTATTTTTAAAAAGATACTATATCTGAAAAATCTGCCAAAATCAGAAATGCAGGATTGGACTTCTGGACTCTAACCTTGGAATGGAATGTGGAAAGAGTAAAGGTGCCTGAGTTGAAGGAAGAAGAGATTCCAGAGGCAGTTTCTTCCAAATAACAGTTAATTTAGTCTTGCCATCCTTGCGCTGTTGCCCCAACATCACCTTCTTTATGACCATTATTATAATCACCAGCCACGAATCCATATCATTTAGTTAAACAAAAGTTTATAATCCTAAACTGTGTGGGGTTTTGTGCTAAACTTGGGGACATCTCAGGACTTAAGGCAAATGGTCATTAATTAGTGGCCTTTCTTAATAAGTTAATAGGTATCCAAGATCACAGTTTTGAATATAAAGGTTTTCTTAGGACACTTGGCCTCATTTACTGTAACTGTTTCTCCCCCCCCCCCACCCCAGATATTAAGTTTTTACCTTGCAAATGGAGATTTTCTAAATTAACAATAGTTGCCATGAGAATACTTGCTCTTGAAATGCTGACGTGGTCTTACATTTTACAAAGCACTTTTACATTAATCTACTCTGTTAGCCCTCACTTCAGACCTTGAAGGTCTATTAGTCCGTTCTTTACCAAGCCCTTTCCCTCCCCCGCACCCCAAACTCAGAGAGGTTAAGTAAGCTGCCTGCGTCTGCACAGCTAATGATGTAAATGATAAGAATAGGGCTGCAGCTGATTTATTGACTTTGTCAAACACTGCTAGGAAATGCATCATTCCTCTGAGAATTCATAGTCTCTGGGAATGGAACAAAACAGGTGAACAGGTGATTTAAAACAAACAGAGGATGTGAACTGGCAGTCCACAGGCCAGATTCGGCTAACATGTGTTTTGTTTAACCTGCTTAGTTTAAAACAGTTTTGAATTGGTTTCCAGTGCCCCCCTAATGCCTTTCTGTTTCAGGTATTATTTACTTACAATACAATTCACCAATTAAAGTATATATTTCGTATAACTTTTTAACACTTGTGTAACTATCACCACAATCAAGATACAGAACAGTTTCCTTAATTTAAAAAATAGGTTTGGCCGTAACAGGTTTGGCTCAGTGGATATAGCATCGGCCTGCGGACTGAAAGGTCCCAGGTTCGATTCTGGTCAAGGGCATGTACCTTGGTTGCGGGCACATCCCCGGTAGGGGTGTGCAAGAGGCAGCTGATTGATGTTTCTCTCTCATCTATGTTTCTAACTCTCTATCCCTCTCCCTTCCTCTCTGTAAAAAATCAAAATATATTATAAAAAAAAAAAAAAGTTGTGCCCTTGTGCACTCAACCCCTTCTCCTGCCATAGGGTGTTTAACATTAAAAAGTTTGATTAAAAATTGAAAACCCTGACAACAGTGGACTCTGCATTCCTGAAGGGTAATGCTTTGCTTACTTGTTTGCATCTCCCCATAGTTGATGTTAAATGTTGCAACAGAAGTGTTCACCAAGTGCCTCGGGGGAACAGAGGACCGTGGGATTAACTCTGGGAAAGGGCAGTTGCTCTGAAAGATGAGGGAGCTCTTAGGGAGAGCAACTGGGAGCAAGAGTGTTCTAAACCCAGGAGGATTAGAAGGGAGATCCCGGGAGGGGGTGCGAGGATGGGGACAGGAAAGCAGCAGAGTATATCTCGCTTCTTGTTGGCTGGATGGGCTGTATAAAGTGGGAGAGTTTAGTGCACATATCTTAGTGTTTGTGCGTTTTGCTTTCTGAAGGTTTTGTATACCCAAGAAACTTAGTCTTTTTATCTGTACATCTCTGGGGGGTTTAAAGGTATTTTTGTTGTTGTTGTTGGCATGAGAAGGGGAAGTTTATTTTTGTAAGGGTTATAGGTCTGCGTAGGGTGCTTGGGCTGTTTCTAGGGAGAGGGTTGTCTGGAGAAAATGTCTCACTCTTACCCCGCCCCCTCCACTATCTGGTTCCCACCAGCCTGCCCGGGGCGGGGCAGGAGGGCGACAGCAGGTGGGAGGGTTGGGGCAGGGAGGGCTGTTTAGGCCACAAGTTCCCGCCCCCTGCCGGCTACTCGGCCAGAGGCAGCCTTCGCCGCCTCCGTGCCGCTCAGTTACCGGCGACGCCATGGACAGGCCGGGCAATCGGTGTCCTCTGCCAGGCTACCCTCGGCCCTCTGTCCTGTTATGCCTCCTGGTGAGTGCCCACGCCACGACGGCACCCCCCACCCCTTGGCCCCAGACCTCCCACCTGGGACCCGAGGAAAAAGACACCCTTCCCTATCCTGCTCTGGGCATTTGGAGCTGGGGGCAGGCGGGTAGGGGATGGACTGTGAAATCCCTGGAGGCACCCCTTGGAGTCCCGGAGACGGTGGGGTGGCTCTGAAGCTTGTGAGCTCCCTTTCTTCTCTCTGCGAGGAGGGGTGCCTGGGCTGCGTTCCATGGCCAGGGAGGTGAAGGGGTATCTGGTGGTGAGTTCTTGTCTAAGGGTCCCTCGATAGATTCTTTTCTTTCTGTTGCAGTTACCCTTTATGGGAGTAACTTTGTTTCTGTCTTAGAAATACCTCAAAATATTAGGGTTGGGAAGTGACCGTTTGCAGAATAGCTCCAGTGGTGGAGGTGGTTCGGGAGGAGGTGGAGAGAGTCAGAAGCCTACCACCTAGCCCAGCTCTGATGATCACTTTTGGGTGATTCTACTTCCTTCCGACTCTTATTTCCTCATCTGTAACCATTGGCACATATCAGTGGCTCTTACCCTTTTGGGACCTGTAGGTTTTCTTAACTTTTTTTCTAGAAAGTTCTGGATTTGTACACAAGGAAACTGTGTATTGATAGATAAACACAAAGTTGTAGTCTTTCAAAATATTCATGGATTTCTTCAAACTAGGTGGGTTATAAATTTATTTGGATTATAAACTAGGTGGATTATAAATTTAGAACCACTAGGTGGTTTCTGAGGCCCCCTTTGCCTTAACACAGACTATAAAGTCAACCATAACCTCTTAGAGGCGATGCAAATATTCCAGGCCAAAAAAAAAAAAAGGAAAAAGGCAGAATAAAATGCAAAAATAACTGAAAGAATACATAAAATATTTTAAAAGAATGTAGAAATAGAAAAGGTATGTAGTAAAAGACAAATAGGAAAATGTTGACTAGACTTAAAAATTGTATCCTAAAATGTTCCCATTAGGGAATATTGTGGTATATATTCCATCACTTTTGTATTCATATAACGTCATTTTCTAATACATTGTAGCCCATCCTTGGTTCCAGATTGACCTTTCACGCTTCTGACACTTTGTTGAGATGGTCCACAAACCTTTCTCAAGCCCTTACTCCCTGTCAGAATTGTAAGGTGCTGGCAATACAGAAATGAATGAGACTGAAGAGCCTATGACCAATGGAGGAGACCTGTAAACAACTCTTTATTTCAGTGTGACCAGTGGTACAGCAGGAGAATGTTTAGCAGCAATCCTGGCCTCTACCCAATAGATGCCAATAGCATCTCTTTCCCAGGCATGACCATAGGAATTGCCCCCAGACATTGCCAGATGGCCCCCGGGGGCACAAAATCGCCTTGAGAATCATTGGATTAAGTGAAGCTGAATCCACCCCACTGTATCAATTCCTAGTTGTGCTCCTGGTGCTTCCAAGAGTCCCGAATGGAGGCAGGAGTCTTGGATGTAAGTTTCTAAATGTTCTGCCTCAGTTATCTTATGTGTTAAAGTTAGGGTTATCTTAGATAATACTTGAGAGCACAGCTCTCCGTGTCAGTAGCACAGGTCACATTGCTTTAGAAGTAGGCTACTTTTTCCACTGGCCTCTCCACGGTGCCTAGCACATACCATATACACATGAATGGCGGGGAATCAACTCCCCAAACATCAAGAGCTGTAATAACTTAGTATTTTGACTTTGAGTTCACCTAAGAGTTTCAATGCCGTTTGGGTGAGTTTATATTGAATCTTATTAGCTGTGCTGCACTGCTACCTGCTGGCTGGAATGCCCAGATCTTCCCTCAGAATGGCTTTTTTGGTTGGGGGACAGGCCATTGTTCCTTGTGTTTGGAGTCTGTGCTGGAAGCTACCATGGAGTCATGTAGTGGACTCCTTAGCGTGTTCCAGCCTGCCCAGTTCTCTGTTAAAAACACTGCCGACAAGACTTATCTTTTTCACAAGACTCAATAACAACGTCTTGCTGGTGTATTAATTCATTAGTCTGCAAGTATTTATTGAGAACCTGCCGGGAGCCATGAACTGTGCTGGGGATACAGTGGTGAGCAGAGCCTGAAATTCAGTTTCACTGAATTTGTGATTACAAATTATTTTTCCTATCTCATGTGAACCCATAGCAACTGAGATAGGCAGTACAGTGTCATAATCTCCAATTTCTAGATAAGGTTTGTAGAAGGAGAGGTGGTAACTTGTTGAAGGCCACAGGCAGCTAGCAGTACTCACACTAGGATTTAAATCCTACTGTGCGCGCGCGCGCACACACACACACACACACACACACATACTAAAACCTTTTGAAGTCTGGATTTTTTTTTTCTTGCATGGTCACTGGTTTAGTTCAGTGGACTAGTATGTTGAATTGGTGGTTTGGTGGAGGTAGTGGGAGGGAATGAGAAAACCCAACCCTGACAGGCCTGTAGTCAAACTGAAGCTGAAGACATAAAATCGCTGCTCTAGGCCTTGCCAAGACGTAGGAGGCAGAACTTAGGCAAGAGCATAAAAGGAGTGGGAGGACAGAGGTTTATTTGAGCAAGAAAGAAGTCCTGGGCTGGAGGCAGGAGAAACACCCTCTTGTTTAGCCTGGCTGAAGTCACAGTGGGACTCCTTGCAAGCTGCCTCTCTCTGTTAATGACTCCATTATATTCCTCAAGCAGAGAACCTGGAAAGGAAGGTGTTTTCCAGTTCTTTTTATTTCTTCTTATTTTAAACTAGGAGCCTGGTTCACAAAATTTGTGCACTCGGGGGAGGGGGTTCCCCCTGAGCCCAGATTGTGAGCCCTCAGGGGACGTCCAACTGCCAGCTGAGGCCCTCTCCCAGGGGGAGAGGGGAAATAGGGCCTAAGCTGGCAGTGGGACATCCTTACCACTCCTGCAAAGGCAGGAGGGGCTCCCGCAACTGCTGTTGCGCTTGTCAGCCGTGAACTTAGCTTCTGGGTGAGCAGCGCTTCCTGTGGGAGAGCACTGACCACCAGGAGGCAGCTCCTGCATTGAGCGTCTGCCCCCTGGTGGTCAGTGTGCATCATAGCAACCGGTTGTTCTGTTGTTTGGTTGATTTGCATATTAGCCTTTTATTATATAGGATATTTATCATTAAAATAGTAAGAAAGATATCTTGAGTGCCTTTTCCTTTCACATTGTCACTATCATCTTAGCTTCAAGTCTTTTTCCTGGATCATTATAATGACCGTGTAATCTCTGGTCATTCTCCTTCCTCTCTCCTGGTACTCTACTCGGCTTCACTACATTATTACTCTGCTACTTAAAACCTCCAAAAATACCCTACCACTGAGTACAAACTCCAGACTCCTTAGCCTGACCCTTTTCTCTATAGTTCTAGCCAGTTTCATTTCCTCCTGATCTCATACCCACAGACTAAGACCCATGCAGACCATAACTCATCTGGCCCTTAATACTTCTTGAGTTTGAACATTGTACATATTACTATTTGCTTAGCCTTGAGTACTTCTTGTGACCCTCTCTTATGATCTTACTTATCATTCCAGATCCAATTTAGATGGTACCTTCTCTTCCAAGCCTTTTTCTGCTCCCTCAGATAGAGCCTTTCTTATGGTCCCTGAGTGCTCAGGTTAGTAGCACAGGTTGCATTGCTTTAGAATTAGGCTACCCTTTCCACTAGCCTACCCAGTGCCTGGCACATATACAAATGAATGGAGGTGAAGTTACCCTCAAACATCATTAGATGTAAGAGCTTGTCATTCATTATAATCTCCACAGGATGACAATTCAGTGGATTCCAATCAGCATTACTTCCATCAGAATGGATTTCACATCATCCAGACTTGAGCCCTAATCCTTGCTTCGCTAAATAAGAGCTATGTGATTTTGAACAAGCTCCTTGATTTCTGAGCCTCTGTTTTGGTGGTGTTTTGTTTTCTTTTTAATCATCTGCAAAATGCAGAGGTAAATATCTAGACAGAACTTTGTTGAAGTACTAAAGCTCAAGATCTCAGGAATTATTTTTTGGATGAGGGATGGGTATGAAAAAAAGATGCCCAGCCCTGGTTCCAATCTGCTTGAGCAGGAGATAGCGAATTGTCATGCCACTGCTGACTTGTGCTTTTCCCCACCATTTAGATCCTGACAGCTTCTTTCCTGACTTACCCCATGCTCAGGACCCTTAGCCTGCAGCTCCATTCAGCTGTCACTGGCAGTTATGTCTCCGGCACTTACTCCATCGTCCTTGTCAACTGTCCCAACGAGCAAATTGCCAGAGAGATTGCCAGGTATGGTACAGGGGCTTAGGTGCTGTCCCAGGAGGCTCAGGATGCTATCAGGGGTCACATTTAGGCCCTTCTTCTGCTTCTGATAATCCTGTCCATCCAGTGATGAACTACACAGCTGAATGATTTGATGGATCCTGCTGCTGGGCCTAAAATGTTGAGTGGCGTTGGGGGGAGGGGAGGGGAGAAAGGGGAGGGCGCAAATAAGGAGACGAGACCCAGAGGGATGTATGGCTTATCTAAGGTGTTAAGGGAACAGTGGAATTCTACCTGTTGAGAACCTAAGTCTCATTCCTGGCCCATCTATCTTCCTTTTTGGAGATTCTCTCTTTGCTCACTATGACAGTGATGCTGTTTTGTTTTTATGTGGAGCTGTGTGGTCACATGGCTATCTAAAGATCAGAAGCGCCGAGCGCAGCCTGATACCTGCCTGTGGGATAGAAGCAGGGGTGGCATCATGATGAAAGGAGCTCTTGGTGGGGAAAGGGTTGGAAACTACTGGTTGAACCATTTTCTCATTGTACAGCAGGGGAGTCAGGCTGAGTGCAGGGACATGCCTGTCTCGGAAAGGTGCTTGAATACTTATTCCTGGAATGAGAAAGAGTTTGTGTAAGGTCACACAGCCACACTATTGCAAGGCCAGGAATGGAACCAGGTCTTCCTGTTCTCTGTCCAGAGTTAATATCTATTCCCCAGGCAGATTAGGCCTGTCATTAAAAGTGCCAGGAGGTGGGGGGAGGTGGGGGCATTCTAAATGATTATCTAGCTCCCAGGAATGCCTATACCTTGTTCCTTCGCTTAAGGTTCTGAACACGTGCCCCAGTGACTGTCACTCTCTGCTTTAGGGCAATCCTGGATAAGAAGCTGGCAGCCTCTGTGAACATCCTGCCCAAGGCATCCTCATTGTGAGTTTTGCTATGGCCGTGGAAGGTCAGGTCCTAGCTGGTGGGAAGGGTACCGACTAATGGGTAATTGTGAAGGAACAACTCAGAGGCATTTAATTAATCAATACTTCACTGTTGATTTGCACTCAAAGGAAATGAATCAGTGTGTTTATATCATCCTATGAACAAAAGCAAAAATGTGCTGTGTGTGTTGAGAGAAAGGAGGGGAAAACCTCCAGTTTGGGAACAGTGAATCCTGCTTGCACATTCTTTGTTTAAATTAATTAGCTTGCTATTAGCAAGGAAGCCAGAATGGGCATTCATCCCTGAGCAAGGCAAGTAGAGATGCTGTTCTCATACTCTTTTCTGAATGTCATCACTGACTTTTAACCTTTGGACTTGTTTCCATGTCTTGTAAGGCTCACTTCTTCCCTGAAGCCTCCTCTGCTTCTTATTTATCCTTTCATGGGCACTCAACATTGAGTCTCAGTTGTAAAAGTAGTCCCATTTCATAGGATGGAGAGGGGCCCAGAAACCATGAGTATAGAATAGTGTGGAAAGAGCCAGAGATGCCCAGTTTGGAGGAGAGAAAACGTAAGTTTCTGTACAGCAGGAGAGTCAGGTTGACTCTAAGATGCTTCTCCATATGGAAGTTGGGGAAAACAACTGGGTGGCAGATGTTGGCACACCATAAGAAAAACCACCTCATGTGAAAACCTTTAAGGTAGATGGACTTCTTCAAGCGATGGTGAGCTTCTCGCCTCCAGGAATGTTCAGGCAGATGCCAAAAGTATGCATTAGCATAATTGGACACATGACCTGTCATGCCTTGGCCAATTGTAGACTTCTCTACATGAACTTAGATTTATTTTATTTTATTTATTATATGTTTAAAGTATTACAAATAGTAGTATGTCTCCTTTTCCCTCCCACTGACATTCCCCCGGCCTCCCCTACCCCCGACTTGGAGAGATTTTAAAGTTTCCACCTCAGTAAGTTGCCTAACTGGGCCAGGTTTGACATTTCAGTGGGATTGTTTTGGGAGCGTGATACCTTGTTCTCGTGTCCAGGTACTTTTGGAATGGAGAAATAGAAGAAGCCACTGAGATCCTGTTGGTGAGTGAGCTTGGGTTTGGGGATGGGCCTTGATACGGAAAGAGTGAGAGCATGGCCTTTTCCCCAGGTTCCAATGAAAAACTAGCGAAGACCAACTGATTGAGGTTCCTGCCCCACATAGATGCCGTAGATTTGTTTGCAAGCTAGTGACAGAGCCTAGTGACCTAGAGGGAAAAACCAGTCTCATAAATAGCCAGAAAAGTGAGCAGCTGTGGAGCTGGGCTGAGGTGAAGCAGTGATTTTTTTTCCCTTTACAGTTAATAAAGACAAAGACTTCCAAGGTCCACATGCTCTCCAGCTATGTCAGGTAATTCTGGCGTCTCGTCTCAGCCAAGGACATTCTAGGTATTGAGTGAATGAGCTTGGAAAGCAGGAAACCTAGTCACAAACCTTTGTATGACCCAGGACAGGTGCCTGCCCCTCAGATTCTCCATATGTAAAATGAGAGACTAGAGTGAGTTAGTTTAAACCAGCAGTTCTCAAAATTTTGGTCTCAGGGTTCCTTTACACTTTAAAAAATTGCCAGGGACCTAAAAGAGCTTTGTTTATGTGGGTTATATCAAAGTTTACTATGTTAGAAATTAAAACTAAGATTTAAAAAAAAATTAACAGTAATAAAACCATTACTTATTAATGTTGTAAATAATGCATTTTTATGGGAAGTAACCATATTCCACACACACCCCTCCCCCAAAAAAGTGAGAATGGCATCATTTTACACTTTTTGCAAAATCTGGCTTAATCAGAAGCATTTTTAAGTATTGGGACACTTGGAAAGCTCATGATGACAAATTCAAGTTTTCCAAACTTCTGATTTCTGCATGAAAACAATTTTTTTTTTAAAAAATTGGCAATACATGATGTAAATTGTCTTTGAGTGATGGACTCACTTTGTTCATGTCTGAGACAGTGTCTACCTAATCCTCAAATCTGAGGAACCATAATTTGAAAAAAAAAAAAAAAAAAAGACAGTTTATGGTAACTCAGGCTTAAAAATGGCACTCCACGAAAAAGTCTGGATTTCAGTCAGACGTGTAGGACATACTGAATTTAGGCACAAAGCACAGTGCTTTCTGTATACTTCCCATGCTGTCACACAGGGCTAAACATACATGTACTCAAGGGTCAAACTGAATAAAAACTGTAATTTTCACCATTTTGTCAAGGATGTTCTTAAGTGAATCTGACTTTTTGCAAGTGCATGTGTGTGGTGAAAACACAACAGTGAGTACAGTTTGGGGAGAAGGGAGAGAGGTTCCTGTGGGTTTGGCTGTCAAGAAAGATCCCTTTAAAAATGTCAATGGTTGTTTGGCCTTGAGGGATAAAGAGGCTTTTGATTGATAAATAGGAGCAGGTTTGACACGTGGAGCAGAGAATACAATGGTATTGGGTGGGTGACGTTTGAGGTAGTAATAGAGGCTAGCAGCTAACATTCAGAGAATTCATCTAGTACCAGTTAGTGTACCAGCTCTATGGTCCTTGTCTCCTTTCATCTTCAGTGACCCAGTCAAGTATTATAGGTGCCATTTTCATCCCCTCCTTTGTAGGGCCATTAGAGAAATTAAGTGATCGGTCCATGGCTACATAGCTAGTAGGGAGCATACTTAGAATTTCAACCCTTGTCTGTGAGATAAGGGTTCAAATTCTAAAGCTATCTGGCTCGACCTCAAAGGAGGCTGGCTTGCTGGGTTTCATTGCCTGCCTGATCCTAATTACAGTCACTCACAGAACTCTGCTCTCTTCCCAAAGGCTGGTGCATACTTTTGAGATCCCAGAGATCTTCAGTCTTCCCATGGACCAAGGAGATGTGCACTATTGGAAGTGGCTGGAGGAGGGCATGGAGGAGGACTGAGAGGGACGGCCTCCTGTGGATCCTGCTGGCTGACACTAGCCTTCATCAGCCGCATGCTGGGGAAAGGATGCTGCTTCCTGCCTCTCAGCAGCTCTGGATTCCTTGTTTTTGTCAGCGCAGAGGAGCTGAGTAACTTGTGTAGGATGAAGGGCCGAGGCTCCTGAGGCTAGAAGAGGATGCTGGGCCAGTCCAGGCCAAGCGAGAACCCAGTGGAACTTGTCTCTGAGTACTTCCTAATAGGTGGCCAGGGGATGAGGGCAAGGAGGGTAGTGTGCAGGGGACAAGGAGAGATGGCAGGGAGGGTGAGATGTGTCATCTGCAGCAGTCACTGGGCTACCTCAAATGTTGGGTGGAATTACTCTCCTGGTTTTCAGGAGAGACAGATCTGGTTTGATCTGTTTACCTAGAAGAGTGTGGGTTGAAGGTCAGCTTCTGGAGGAACTGGCAGCACTTTATCCAAAAGGATGGATTGTGAATGGTGCAATTTCAGGGACAAGCAAGATTATTTCTCCTGGCTGAGGGTGGCACTTGTTATTCCTGAGGCCTGAGGAGTGGGTCTGGAATGAGCTTCAGGAGTGTGTGTAGGACTGGGGCGATATTAGTACTTAGACACAGCTCATGGGTTGGGAATAGGTCTTGACCTTCCTAGCCTGAATATGACCAGCATCAGGAGGTTCTGGTGTCTTGCTCAGTGGAGACAGGCTTGCTTACTGGAGCATTGAAACTGAGCGTCCTAAAGCAGAAAGAACCCCGGGGAACTTCCAGACCGTGCTCCTCAGACTTGCCCACAGAGCCCAGAGGGTGACAGGAGGTATGGGGACTGCCTGCCCCTCTCCGCCACCTTCAGCCAGTGCAACTGTTTTTTTTAAAATTTTTATTTTATGTATTGAGTTCTCATGAGATTTGTGGAGCTTTTATAAAAGTTTTCTTTGTCAAAAGTTGTAAATGAGTGGTGTAAGCCTGTCTCCACTCTATAGGTTTAAAGGAAACGGAACTGCACTGAGGTCCGGAAAGGGAGTGGCGTGATGTTACTAACGGGACAGCCAGGCTACCTACCCTGAGTCTGGTGTGCTCCTATCCCTGCTCCTTCCCAGGTGGAAGAGGGCATGGAAGGCCGAACCCCCAACTCATCCTAAACTTGATGCTTTTTACTGCCTCTTCCAAAGAGGCTGGAAAATGTCCTTTTGTAGACCAGAGACCCAGAGAGCCTGCTGCAGCCTATTGTAAAGGAAGTGTTTTTATAATAGTTCATCTATGTGGTAAGTGGGCCTGGGACTTCTACCACTGGCTGGAGGTAGGTGATAGTGTCTTTATTCTGTACGTAAGAGGATGGATTTAGAGCTCAGCGATTTTTAAAGTCTGCATGACTCCATCTTGCATGGTTTGGCCTTTACGTCTCCCCGATTGGTGCTGTGGAGCCGGGCCGGGGCCTAGACCAGTGTTTCCACAGGGGATGCCTTCCCAGCATTTCTCAGGACATGTACGTGTTTTGAATCGGGAATCGCCAGAAAAATCAGTTCAGAGAATATGGAGGCTTAAAAGCATAAAGACATTGCTGGTTTGAAGGAATGCATCAAATAAAAAAATAAGAGCAAGACACGCCAGCATGCGCAGCCGAAGGTGAGAAGCAGTGCGGGAGCATGTCGGAGATGGCTGTCCAATCAGTCTTGCTTGTGATTGTTGTGTTGTATTATTTTGCAAATAAGTCTATACAGAGTATACTTTAGACAAATTCTCTGAGCAGTGTACTAAATTACAAGCTTTCAAAGCAAAATAAATTCTTAATTTGGCATTTTTGACACGTGATCCTTACTTAAACTGTTCACCTTGCCAGGATATTTGAATGTTACATGATTTGGAAAATATCCAATGACAGGGTTTAAATATTCCCTCTAGGCTCCAGTTCTTTGTAAATACACCTAAGCTTGATAGTCCCATTTGTTAAATAGTTTTTCCCAGATATCTGTAACAATAAGGAAAGAATGAAATGAAGTATTTTAAGAATAACTTGATGACTTAGGGAATTTTGAGAATTCTAATTTCTTGCTCCTAAGTCCAAAGATTACTGTTTGTTGTAGATTTGTAAACACTTACCCAGACCACAAAGAACCAGGCCCTCTCCAGCGTGGCGAGGACCACTGTTCTCAGGAGGGTCTATTTAGCTGCTCACTCACTGTAAAATTCGAACAAGAAGCCAGGTCTCTTGACACCTGTGCCATTTACCTTCTTTCCTTTCCATAAATACCAGCTCACAGAACAATCCCCACAGCCCCACAACCCCCAGCTCCAACGGTGGTTTTGTCCCCAGGGCAGTTAAAAGGTTGAAAGCGAAAGGATGGAGGATAAAAGTGGAAGCCATAGTTAAGGTTTAGCAGATGTGAACACTTACGGGAATTAACAGGCTACACTTTACCCCTGAAACTACAGAATTCAGTTAGATCCTCGGTCTTCACCTCCCTATAGCTGACTTTCTCTCTCTCCAAACTTCCACAAATGTAAAGTTTATTTTAAAGTAATAACTCATCATATTTATATGTGAAAGGTTTCCCTCTCAAAACCAGAGAACTGAATCTAGCAGGTATCAGCTCTGCCAGGAAAGGGAGAGAAAACTGAACCAAAGGACTCGGACCAAAGTGGTGCAGGTTCAAACCAGGAGAGCCACGCCAGGCACTCACTTTGCATCACTAGGCTTGGGTGCACTGAATAGCTTATAGAGCCTGTACTGACGTATTTTAATGGGAGCAACTTCTGAGTTCACTTCCCATTCTTTGCTTCCCTGTGGCCCTCACTGATGTCTCTTCCCCCAATGGTCAGATACTCACAGCAGATAAAAGGTTCCATCTCCTCTTGGTGGTAAGGGTGAGGATAGTGCTGAGAGCATTCATAGGCAGTGGCAGGAATGGCAGGGTGGCCGGGGAGAGGGTGGGTCCCACCATTCCTGAGTCTCCAGGGAACCAAGACCAGACACCAGAGCCAATTCCTCCTGCTACTCAACTGCTGACAGTTTACTGGGGGAAGATAGGCAGCTTTCCAGAGGGAGCTTTTAGATTGTGAGTCAGACACGTTTAATTAGAACTTTAATATAACACGTTATTAAAAGCAGCAATTCAAAACCATAAATCTTTAGAAGGTGCACAGGATTATCATAAGGTCAGTTGGCAGTAATGCAGCTATGATCCGGCACAAATGAAAGGCTGGGGCACAGAGTCAGGGTGACCTCGCGAGACTGTGTCCTGACTTCCCACGTTGGGAAGACACCCTCCTTCCCCTCCTTTTCCTTTTCAGCTCAGAGCCTCTCTGAGCTCAGGTGGAGACGGTGCACCTGTGGCAGGCCTGGCTCCTCCTGTGCTTCCTCAGGAGCCCGGGCAGCAGGCCTGAGAGGTGGCTATGCTCTCTGAAGCCAGGCAGGAAGCCACAGACTGAGCAGGGTGCTGCCTTCTCAGCTTCCCTTCCACCGACCCTCCGTTTGAGGTTTTGGTGGCAGCAGCTATGGGGCTGAGAAGGGGGAGACCTGGGCCCAACCTCAGATCATCCCTGTCTGGTCCGCGCCAGGGAAGCCACCTCCAGACCACCTCTGTCTGGTCCACGCCAGGGAAGGTAGGGGAGGGGAGGTCCCATCAAAAAGGCACTGTAGAAGCTGAGGCTTAAGGCAAGGGGCATCTGCACTATCCAAGGGACCCCCAAAGGCTCACAGGTGGGAAGGGGGTCAGCTGGAATGGAAAACCATCCTCTCGCTGTTCCTCCACCTTCGCTTAGCAGCTGGCAGCCTGCAGAGCCCAGCCCAGCTGAAGGCCATGCAGCAGTTGGCAGGTCCAGTCCCCATCTGGTGCACTGCCCCCACCCCGAGTCAAGGCACGTCCTTTTGTTTTTCAATCAAGTGAGTCGGTTTCTAATATTTCTGGAAGCAGCAAAAATGAGGGGTCCCCTCCCATTTTTGGTTTCCCTCCAGATGGGTTTGAGTTTTGATGTTGGCTTTAAGGATTCTTTTTAGACTCCCAATGACAAGGGCCTCTCTCTGAGGGGACCGAATGACACAGGCCCTTTAAAACTCCAGGCCTGTCCCAGAAAGTGATTGTCAGTTCAGGGTGGGGCAGGGGATACAGCAGAAGGGCCAGGGGGTCAGAGCTGGGTCCCGGGCTGAAAGAAGGGGCAGGAGCTGGACTTTCACATTTAGTTGCAGCACATGGTCCCTGGAAGAGGGCCAAGGGAGAGCCGAAGGCAGGAGCCAGGCTGTCACTGGAGGGAGTGTGTGTGTGTCAGAGAGAGAGAGAGAGAGAGAGAGAGAGAGAGAGAGAGAGAGAGAGAGAGAGAGAGAGGGAGAGAGAGGGGGGGGGGGGGAGAACATGAAAGTGTGCATGAGAGATTGTGTGAGTGAGAGAGAGATTGTGTGTGTGTGTGTGTGTGTGTGTGTGTGTGTACCTGGAGGCAAGGCCAAATGCTTATGCCTGGAGGGTGAGGTACATGTGGAAGGACGTTGTGTGAGTGCATGTGTACTCAGCTGCGTGTGTGTGTGTGGTGGTCTGGGGGTGGGAGGCGTCAGAAACAGTCTGAGGTTTAGCAGGACACGCGCCCCCTGCCTCCCCCCGCCGTTTCCCTGTCCCTCAGGTTTTCAAGCCACCCCTATTCCAGCAAGGCCAGGGCCCACTCCATGGCCACCAAGAGGAGTGTAGCCAAGGAAAGGAAACCCAGAAGCTGACACCTTGGCCTTCACTCTGAGCCTCCATAGGGCTCTGGTGCTGGTGCCTCTGAGGCAGAGACCTGGACTCTCAAGGCCCGAGGAGTGGAGGCCGGTCTCTGCCTCACAGGCTCTCCGAGGCCTCCTGTCCTCACCAGCATTTCCAAGGTTCGGGCGGGGGTGGGAGAGGGGCAGGAAAGTGGGGGAGAAAAGCTCCCACCTTCACCCACTTTCTCAGAGGTTCCTGTTTTACCCTCATCTGGGCTCGTGTGTGTAGCTACACAAGGGACAGCATGCATGTGTAGGGTGTCTACACAACCCCAAAAGGGGTGAGAGAGGTAAGTGACACAAAACTGGGGACAAAGACAGATTCAGGCTGCAGGGAAAAGCATCCCAGAGCCAGGGCGACACACACCGGAAGGAACAGGTGAACGGTCTGAGGGAGTGCAGAGCGTGTGGGGACACTGCGACCCTAGAGACAAGGGGTGATGAGCCCGAGGCCTGGGGCAGAGTGGAGAGTGGAGAGGCAGGAAGGGCCTGGGCCAGACACCTGCAGCTCCGTCGTCTTCCCTCCCCTCCCCACCCTGCAGAGCCACGGGCTCCCACTGTCTCCCATCTGCTGCCAGGGCTCCAGGCAACCCCTGTGGGCCAGTCAATAAGGGGTGGTCCCTTCCCACTCCACCAGGTACTGAACCTTGCCCTCGGGTGTGACCCTCCGCGCCAGCACCTGGTACTTTTCCCCACAGGCCAACCGCCCCGCCGCACCGAAGTAGTTAGTGATGGAGGACTTGAGGTGGGACAGGGAGGAGTCGTCCTCACTGATGCTCTCAAACGTGTGGCTGTCAATGCTCTCGTCCGCCCGCTCAGGGCCCGAAGCCCCCTCGGCCCCGCTGTCCGAGGGGCAGCGTCCACTCGGCTCGGCTGCCCGCCGCTTTGCCCGCAGTGGCGTGTACGCTGTGGCTGCCAGCTTCCTCTTCCGGCTGCCCACTGTCCGTCTAGGGGGTGGGGGGGAGTAGGAAATGAGGGGGAATCATCACAAGCCTCCCCTTGAGCACTCCCCTGGGCACTCCCGTGAGGATCAGCCCACTGGAGCCTCACAATAGCCACTTGGGAGGGAAACAGGCTCCAGGGAAAAGCTACCATTCGGGCAGCGGCAGAGCCAGGATTCAGACCTCGGTGTGTCCAGCTCTCCATTTAGGAAACCAGCCCTGCATGGGGCCTGGGCTCCATCCTCTGCCTCCTGATGTCAGGCTGTGCGGAGGCCCCGCTTACACTGCTGACCCTCAGTGTAATGGGGTCGGATGGCAGTTATGAGGAGAGGACCCCACATCCAAGAGCTGGATTGGAGACAGACAGACATGTGCACACATGCGGGCAGAGAGGCAGACTTGGTAGAGAAGGGGCCACACAAGAGGTGGCACACATTCAGACACTTGAATGAGCCAAGAGCTAGTGAGTATAAACAGGAAGAAATAAGTGAAGCTCTAGCTGGTTTGGCCCAGTGGATAGAGCATTGGCCTGTGGCCTGAAAGGTCCTGCGTTCAATTCCAGTCAAGGGCACATGCCCAGGTTGCAGGCTCAATCTCCAGTGGGGGACATGCAGGAGGCAGCCGATCAATGATTCTTTTATCACTGATGTTTCTCTCCCTCTCCCTTCCTCCCTGATTAAAAAAACAATAATAATAATAAAAAACAAAGTAAGTGAAAATACAGAGGCGACAGCAGAAAAAAGACACCCAAACAAGAGAAAAACTCCCAAGGTACATAACTCTACTTGCAGGGGCCTCTGGGACCCCAAAATAGAGCTAAAGGAGCTCGGAGTTCAGAAGCTCACCCTCCCTACACCGCTGAGGACGGC